TTTTCTCCAATGTTGTAATGCTGCATTAAAGTCAAATGTTTCAATTGGGTCACCTTCAAGTTTGACTATTAGCAAGTCATCAACTCTTGCAGAGAACAGCCTATTTCTAGCAGCTGTTTTAATCTGGTTCTGGGCACTGAAACCCCTTTCACAATCAGCAGTATGGATTGGGGCAGTTAAAGCCAATGAGGCCAGAGTTAACAAATTTGGAAAATCATCTTTATGATACTTGTTAATCATTCCCCACAAATCAGCCATTTTGTCTCTTGGATAACCAGCTTTGACTACCAATGGCTTCACAAGGGACCACTCTTTTCTTGTAGTTTCTGCATCAATTATTGGTTCAACTGTCACAGGAGTCTTGTCATTCAGAGGTTTGGACACCTTAGGCATTCCATACTGGCAGACAAGTGTTTCTAAATGTTCATTACCCCATGTTTCAAGATCTTTTTGGGAACATAATGATATTGGCCTCATTCCAAGCACACCAAAAGCATACACAATATTACTATCATTATTTGGAAATCTCTGGTCAATTTTTTCCAAGATTGCATTAACAAATTTTACCCTGATTGAATCAATGTTCTGTTTACCCTGTATGATATGGTTACCTTTGAAGGTAAGTCTCCCCTTTTCAGACTTCAGATGCTCACTCTGTAGCTGATACAGGTAAGTGTCATGTTCTACTTCAGAAGATTTCATCCTATTTAGAGCTGTTTTGCAGTGATCTACTGACACTTGCACTAAGCTAACATCAAGGTCAGATTTTTGAAAAACAAGGCACAATTCTGAGACTATTGGTAATATGTCCATGAGCAGGTAAGTGGTAACTAAAAAATCGTACTTGGACATCTTACTGCCATAACCTTTAGATTTAGCATCTTTGTCAGTGGTAAAAAACGTAATGAGTGAGTCTAAACACCTATACACAGTTTTTACAGCCAGATAGACAGACAACCATCTCACTTCATGAACCTCTTTAATTTTTAAATTGGGTTCTTCAAGCAAATTTTGAATATCTGTTAATCTTGTTGTACGATTGATGATGCCTTAAAAAAGTAGAAAATCCCAGTCATTATTCGCTGGTATTCAACCAAGTAGGAAACCTCATCAGCTGCCTGAGATGTTACCAATGCTAAACGATGTGCAATACAGTGGTAATTTAACATCATTGGGTTTTCTCTTAACATGTAGCCAGTTACACCCTGTCCTTTCCCTGTCATAACGGTGGCCCCGTCTGTACCAAGGCCCATTATCTTGGTTGGTGGAAGCTGTTTTTCTTTTATAACACCAGACAATTCTTCGTGAATGGCTTTGCCTGTTCCACTTTTTACTTCCAAATTGCATAGAAAATGTGTTGATGGTTTGAAGGAGTCCGGGTTTAAAATTCTACTATAGACAACCAGTTTTTTTTTAATACCAATATCTGTGGTCTCATCACACAGAACACTGACAAAAGGCGACTTTAACAGTCTATTGTCAAGTCCTTTTCGGATAACAGTGGCAAGAGACTCTAGCATTTCACAGGCTGCTTTGTTGGAAGCGTAAGTTACATTTTTTCCTGTTCTGAGTCCTGTCACATGTGGACATTCAAGTTGCTCAAGCAGGTTAAGTAGGCTATCATATTTGTTAATTGCAATGTCCTCTTTTGCTAGCCAAAACACTACACGTATAGCAACCAACAGGCTATTTTCCTTTTCAGTGTGAACATTTTTTACCGCCTTCTGAAAGTCGGAAATCATTGAATCTGACATCATTGCTGCTTTATGATCGTTACATTCTGCATGGCGAGTAAGTGTGCTTGTTCGGAAATTAGCATTCGCTTTGGTCATAGTGTTCTGTTTATTATGCTTGATACACACTTTACAGGTCATTGCATTCTTGGAAGCTTCATATTGTAGCCATTTAAAATCTCGTAGCCACTTATCTTGAAAATGTCGGACATACCTTGAAGTTTGCATTCCCGCGAAAGACGGTTCACCCCCGATGTCATCTTCACGCTCTTGCGATGTACTAGTAGAATCATGTACCGTAGTTTTCGAAGACTGTGATGTTTCCGGTGGAGATAAAAACACATCTTCCACAGGAGTCGATTTTTCTGACTCATCTAACCCAATCTCGTCATTCGATTTGCTTTTCTTTTGAGCTGATGGTCCGAAAAAGCTCAATATTGTTCTACCCTTTCGTTTTGAACCATCGTGTGCAGACATCTTGCTTTCAGTTACCGACTCAATGAAACGGCAGTGTTGATTGGTTGAGGGCGTGGGGTTCGCCAATGAAAATCAATTTCACAGTTGAGGGTAGGCTGACTGCGCTGGACATCGATGTGACAGCAAGCGTAAATTTTAGTACGCGAACTGAGCGAATCAAAATCAATTTCACAGTAGGGGCGTGCACTAATTGAGTAGTCGCTATGTCAACCGTGACTGATAGCGTTATTCTAGTCGTGATTTTAGCCAATGAAAATTGAGTTCACATCGGCGATTAGGTAGTATTTAGTTGACACAATATCAACACTGTACGATAGCATATACAGGGCTCATACCACTAATTGAATTTCCATAGACGACAATGTTAACATATGACGAGATTGCTATATGAAAATGACGAAGAAAGTTGAAAATATGGCTCAAAAATGGGAAATCAACATGCCAGTAATCAACCATATGAAAAAACTAACATGTTGGCCAGCTCAAACTCTTGCAAATCTC